GAGAGAGAGAGAGAAAGAGAGAGAAAAAAACCGAAAAGAAAACACCACTACCACTGAGTTCGTTAGCCTCGAAGCGGATCGATCTCGTTTTTTTTCGTTCAACGAAAAATGTACCCATCCTCGCGTAGCCGTCGTCTCCTCTTCCAATGATTTAAGGCTATTTACACGTGACGATCACTCGCTCTCTCGCATCATCTTCATCTAATTGCACACGTCCGCTCCCGCGATCCATCTACGCACAATCGACCAGAAAAATTCTAGTCATTGTCCATATCGCGTAACGATATTAATTAATCGAATCCCTTCCTGTCCATTTTTTTTCTCCATTTTTTTTTTTTTTTTTTTTTTTCCGTTTTCCTTCTTCCTCTCTGTCACTTGAACGCGAACAATCCAACGCGAAACTTTTGATCGTTAATAATATTTTTTTCCCTCGAGGGGGGGGAAAAAAAATTTCAATTCCTTTCATCATTTTATTATTATTATCCAACAAATTCTCCTCTCCCTGCCGAACTTCATCCAAGGAATCTTTGATGAATGTTTTTGAAATCGCATCGAATTCGAAATCTTCCCGTTTCCTTCTCTTTTCACAAAACCTCGAACCGTTTCTCGAGAAACTGATGCTCGTCACCGCTGATGGCCGTCACCACCGGTTTCCCCGACACCCCGACGGCCTGTCCATCCTTCTCCTCCCTCGTTCCCCTCGAAATCGTGTCTTCCGGCTCGTCATCCTTGTCGTATCACGCGGGCGAGAACGGTCTGTGGATCTGGGGCGGTTTCGGATTGGGCGGGGGAGGTGTGGCGACCCTTATCAACCCCTGGCCTTGAGACTGACCCTGAGGAGTCTGTTGACTCGACGGCGGTGGTGGGCTGCCCCGCGAGGAAGGCGTGTGAGGGCTCGGCACTGCAACCCTCAGAGGGCCCGTCACGGACAGGTTCGTGGCCATTAATGGCGGGCTGTGCGCTTCCGACAGGCTGTCCGACAGACGCGAGATTCCACCATCCGAGAGCCGCGAGCCATCCGATATTCGTTCCGGCAGCTGGTGCTGTACGTGGGGATGGTGAAGCAGGCCCTCGTGCGGATGCAACCTCGGGGGTGGTAGCCCCAGAGGATCGGGTAATCTGGAATTGGAAAGATGCAGCTTTCGGATCGGTGTTTCCTTCGATCGACCTCCATTCCTCCCTTTTCTTCGTTAAATGTACGTGGTTTCATGCGTGTATACGTCGATAGAGATAAAGTTTAATAGTTGAAATTGTGAATAAAGTTACTTCGATGTAATTTGTTCTTAAGAAAATAATAATAATGAAGGATAATTGTTGGAACGGTCGAGTGATTATGCGAAAAAACGGATCAATTATGATAGCCACGGATAAGCTACGATTACTTGAAGTAACCTTATTCGAGATTTTTAACTAGTTACTTTTTCTACGAGTTAATCTTCGACTCTGCGAAAAAAGTATTTAATAATACGTGAAAGTAGTACTAAATGCTATGATAAATATATATAACGTTGCTTTGTGTGTTCAATGTACGATTAAATACTTATTTTCCAAAAAAAGATATTCGATCGATCCATTATATATAAAATACGCGAAACATAAGCGCTGTTCGAATATCTGTTTCGAGATCGAAGAGAACGAACGAATCCCGATTAGCGATCAAGAATCAAAGTTTTTAAAACGCGAGGGCTCACCTGGATCCGAGATCACCCCTGGGCCCCACAGCCTGGAACGGGCTCGTTTCCGTCAGCCTGAAGATTCCACCGCCCGAGATGTTGGGATGATTGTGTTGCGGGCTGTGCGGTCCAAACCGGAAGCCCGTCGGCGGGAATTTGAAGGCCGTCGCGTGGTTGAATCGAAACTGCGATTGGGAAGGATCGAAACGGAAATTTAAGGATGGCGGAGGCAGGGGACCAAGGGGCCCGAGAGGAACAGGAGATGGTTGATGAGTTGGCGGAGGTGAGGAACTCGGTGACGCGGGCGAGGTGCCGCCGAGCGAGATATCCGAGTCCTCCGAATCGCTGCCACCCGGACCTGGACTCAACGCGCGCCGCGTATTCCCGTTTCCTGTCCCAGATTGCTGCTGCATTCTGAAACACAACGTGGAAGAATCCTTTTATCTCACTTTTCGCTGCTTTCGCATCGAGATCGAATCTCGCTGAACGCGCGAACTCACTTTTCTTCGAGAGTCAAAATCGTGCTAATTCAAATTTTCCATTCAAACATTTCTTTATTTCATCGTTGACATTAGTTCTAAAGGTCGAGAAAATTCGAATCTCCCGCGCAAATCTTTATTTTTTTTTTTTTGCTAAATTCGAATTTTTCACTATTTCATTGTTAAATCCGTTTTTTTCGTTCGTCAGAGTGAAGTCAAGAAAACTCGAATCTCCCGCGTAAATCTTTCTTTCTTTGTTTTCGAATCATCGTTAATTTATTTGTTGTAACAGAAGAATTACGAAACCTTGGAGAATTTATTTTGGACGGAAAAAAAAAAAAAAAAAAGAATTCGTTGGAATATCTTCCACCACGTGCGTCACCGTTACTCGTTCGAGGATCGCTTACTCGAGCATGCGTCTCCCGTCGAAGGGTTAACAAGAGAGGTCGAACGATTATTGGTAGCAAGTCGGTCAGCTCTCGAGGAGTAGCGAAGGCTCGCGTAGGCGCGTTGTAGACGCGCGATGAGAATTTCAATTCGTTCCCCGACCTGGGGTAAAGCTAATCTTAGCCTGTTACTCGGCACTGGAAAAACACTTTGTTTCCAGTCATCGCCGCGGAGCGGCTATAATTAATGAGCGGGCTCATCCTTCCCAGGTGAGCACAAGGATTCACGGGAGAGTGAACGACGATTCTCGGGCGACGGGCTCGTACAAAAGAAGGATTCACCTCATTACTCGAGAGATTACGGATAGATATAGAGACGGCTCGCACGAAAACTTCTCACACGACTCATCCTTCGTGGTCAGAGGAGATAAATGGCGAACGTGGTCGCGGCACGATCGGAACGGATGTCCCGACTTGTCGACAGGAAAGTATTACTCATCGCCGTCGCCCACGGCCGAGTTTTTAAACGCTCGGGGCCGCCATTATCGAGAAAATCCATATTATAATTCCACATTTTACCGACGAACGTCAATTCCCTTTTCTTTTCTTTTTTTCTTCTTCTTCTTCTTATCCTCGAAAACGGAATAGAAGAGGAAGAGGAAGAATTTCCAAGTGGAGTACGCGAGATGAAAACCGCAAACACCTCGAACTTAGGTGAAAAATAATTTTTCCTTCCATCGGGTAATCGTGTAAACGCGGAAAAGGAAAACACGGTGAAGGGGAATTTACTTTGAGCGTGGAAAACGCCGCCACCTCCCGATCCGGTATTAAGAGAAAGGAGAATCATTCGCCAGTCTGCCAGAGACAATGAGATGTTGTGGTCGCCTTAAAAGCCTCTTCGCTCCAGATCGATTCAACTCCGGGGCTCCTGAGATACTCCCGTATTTTCTTTGCTAATCGAGTTTCGAGCCCGCACTGTTACCACGGTAACACCTCGAGTGATTTCGAACAGGTTCGCTGCTCGAAACGAGAATCGTCGGATCGTCCGGATGCTTCCTCACGCTCCGAAAAGAGAGGAGGGCGGTCGGTAGGGGACTCTCGAGCTGATTCGCCTTTTTAACGTGGCACGCCTGTTCTAACGCTACCCAAGCTACCGATCCTCTCCACGCCTTCGCGAGCGTATAAATTCTTCACTTTTTTATATATCATCCGATACAAAAAAACCGGGCGATGTAACAATTTTTTTCAAATTGAGAAGAAACGTTCGATAAATTTATTTTTCCGTCGATTTTCTTCATGTTCTACTCCGATTCTTGACAGGGCAAGGATTATATTCGTCTACGTAGAACGTGGAAAGTATTATAAATCAAAGACTCGAACATTAGACGAATAAAGAAAAATATATATAGATGTATCGTTTCTCGAGTAAATTGTATTATCGAACATTGTTATTTAATTTCATCTTAATCGTTGGCACTCGTTCACAAAAGAATGGAAAGAAGTCGTATCATTTTTAATATTTCAAGTCAAAAAAGATGAAAAGATGAAAAATTTTCTCAGCTGTTATTGTAGCAGTACTCGTCGTCGCGTTGAATCACCTTCCCTTGTAAATCTGACGTTTCCTTCGCACTTTCTCCATACAGAAATATATAACGAGACGTCAATTTCCCTGACGAAGGTATGAAAGCGATTTATTCGATTCCGGGGACACAGAGGAGGGTATATGTATAAAGGCGGTGGAAACGCGATTCGTGTACAGGCCACTCTCACGTGGACTTTTTTCTTTTTTTTTTTGAAACGCGTTGGACACGGTAATCGAACCCGTATACCCCTTCCTCTTCCCCCCTCCTTCCTTCCTCCCATTTCTCTCTCCTCCCCCCGCCCCCGTTTCGTTCCTTTTTTTCTTCAACGTGTCTCGCATCAACGGGACACTCGACGCGTTTTAATTATGCCCCAAGACCGCTCCCCTTTGTCTTGGCCCTTTCACGAGACACCCGCACGAGCGGGCGCGACTTATTATGTGCCAGCCTCTTTCCGTTTTGTTCCGCTTCGTCCACCGATCGTCCTCGTCCTGTCCCCCTATTCAACGCTTCTTAATGTCGTGGCATTAAAGTGCGGAGGCTCGAGCTCACGGTGTCAATTTTTCCCTCGTACGAACGCAAGAACAAGGTATCGATTTCCTCGTCACAACTCGGGCGAAAAATTCGAAAATTCACTTCCTCGCTTTCTCCGCTATGCGATGGCTATGCGTATAATTTCCGCGAACAACGAGCGTCCGAAACGCGACTTGTTTCTTCCCAAAGAAAAACCGAGAAACCCTTGACTCATCATCTTCCTCCCTTTCTAAATAAATCCTTCTTCTTATCATCGTTTGCGAATCGATTTCGAAACGCGAATAATTAAAATTAAAATTATAATTAGAATTAAACATCGTATCATCAAACCGCGTTATATTGTTTCCGCGGTTAACGAGGGATATGCGGAGGTTCACGGTTCGGTCGCTCGTTAAAACTCGACCATCTCTCCACGAAAAAGGGCCACGGTTCGACGAATTTTGCTTCTCTCGCTTCCCTCCTCCTCTCTTTTTTTCTTTTCTCTGTAACGTACACGTATAATGTATTCGCGTCCACGTATTGACGGCGCACGCGTTCGCCAAATTCGAGGCGTATTCGCGTGGCGAATCGAGAGGCGATCGCGTCGTCGAGGCGGCGCGGCGCACAGGTGACGAGGTAAGTTTTCGGCGGTGGCGATGATTAAAAAAGAATTCATCAACCCGCGCGCCCGCGGGGAAAGTATCAGGTGCAAGGTGAGGGAGAATCGCCGACGAGGATGCCGCACCGCCGTTAAGTATTTATGCCGCATGACGAGTCACTTTTGTATAATCCCTTCTCTGAATACGCGTATACGTTGTAGTAAAAGTATTATGCACGGAGAGGACGGGAAGCGGCAGGGCGGTCGAACCGTGACGGAAGCTACTGTAATTACGCGCAAGATGGTCGTCCTTGTGGAACCCGATTGATCCCCGATCGAAGAACTTACGGTGAAGGATCCCGCTTTTCGCCCCGCCACTGGCAGCCTCTTAAAAAGTGATTCCATCTTTTTCGAGTTTAAACTCGCGGTTTAAACATCGATACTGTACTGTATCGTAATTTATGCGTCAGGGATCGATTTTTCCACACCGATTCTCCAATGTTTTTGAATTTTTTCGCGAAATATTTTATATATATATATATATATTGGTTAAATCGAATAACATGAATTTTTGCGAGAATTGATATTAATATATCTCGCTCAGGTTTTTTAGGCTTTTTATTTTCATTCAGATTTTCAAATAGCTATTTAATAAATAAATGGATGATGTTTAATATCGGGAATATTTTGTATAATTTTAGCAAACTTTAATAAAAAAAAATGCGAGGGTATTCCGTTCAATCCGATAAAAATTGCATCTTTGAAACGATGCTAATCGTCCTTCTCTCTCTCTCTCTCTCTTCTCTTTGTATTTTCGATAAAAGACGATTTCTTTGGTAAAAAAGAAAAAATAAAAATAAACCTATAAAACAAATAAAATTAAAAATACAACGGGGAAAAAATGCAAAAAAAATTCCATTTGCTTTGATAAAATTACACCTTTAGAAACATTTCCAAGCCAAT